AATTCTCTCTCATGTTCTGCTCACACTAGATCGCCATCTAATCAGTTTCTATCTTCACAAAGTGATGTTGATATTAGTCAACGTAAACAATCCGCTCTATTCTTGTCAATTTAGTGAGTAATTTGGCGTAAACATTTCAACTAGATTCACAGTAGCACTCGGGTGCTTCAACACTTTACAATGGGATACAACCTGCGGCAGCTACTGCGGTAATTGGAAACGCAAATAAATCTCTTTTCAATATGATATATTTATTGGGATACGCAAATAACAAAAAACGTTTCACATTGCTCGTAATCAAGCGATCGGTCTAACGTGCAAGAAAATGCAACACCCTTGCCTCACATACCACAACACAACTTTCCTCAACAGACAAACTCATTGGGGTCATCGTAACCGATCAGAATCAATCAATTTTGTTTATAAAACGTAAACCTAGATAAATGCTTTTACTCCCCTTCGTGTACTATATATAAACTTCCACATATAACGTTTTGGAAGGGGCCTATGGTTAATTCAAGGTAGCCGGGAAAAATACAACACAATCTGCAGCTATTTATTCTCAACCACATCCAAATAAGTGGGCTGGTGGAAATTTATTAAATTTAAACTCATAAACATAACAAATAGTTAGACATCCGTGGTCATATTTTCGCGACCCTTCGTAGCTTCCCACAACTCACAATGTAACTCATTACCAGAAAATGGTCATTTAATCAGTTGATACTGTATCTATTTTCTACATTCCACAGAATCACAAGTCCATGCATTTCTGGACCAGTTACCTGTGAAACCGGTGCGATATACAGATCAGAGGAAACGTGAACAATGCAGCGTCTGTTTTGAAGAATACCAACTGGGCCACATCATTATGACCCTGCCGTGTTTCCATGTACTTCACGAAAATTGCGCAAGACGCTGGTTTGAAGGGGTACGTTGCTTTGCTGTGCTCCTGGTGCCTTAGTAGCAGTGTGTACGGTTTACTGTTATTTTTGTTGTTGTCGTTGTTGTTTGGTAGCAACAAAATGCATAAATCGATTTGCAGTGAAACAGCTGTTAAACCATTCTGTCAGGACTATGCATGACTAAAAGGCATACATGCATATATATATTCAACATTTCCTTATCCAGGGAGTTATAAAATGGTTTAAGGCGAGCAGTTGTCAGGAGACAGTAATATATTGTTTACATTACCCTCCAGTAAAAGCACGCTTTACTTAT